CCGGACTCTCCGGCGGAAGGGAGGCCCGCAGGGGAGCGCTGAGCGGTGGTGGGCTTGCCCGGCTTGAAGCCCGCGGGAGGCTGCGGGCAGCCGGGCCTGGGGAGCCCCTCTCCCGTGCTCTCGCTAAAGCCGGAGGTAGACGCGGGGGAGAGCGCGGAGCGGCTGGGGAGAGCGCTGGAGGCTGGGCAGCCCGATGTTGCACGGTTAGGCCTGGAAGCCGCTGGTTTTGTGCAGGGAGTGGTTTTAGAATGTAGAGGATCGTACTTCTTTGAGGGTGCTTGTAAGAGAATAATTTAGCGTCAGGAGGATTTGGGCGTCGGGTCATGTCTGAAATTAAAGTTGCTGATCATCTGTTCTCTGGAGGGGGGACGCAAAAAGATTTTTATTCTTGCACAGACCTTTTAAGACTTGTTATTGTGTTATTATTGCAATTAAAATATTTTGTTTGTTTGCCTTTTTTTTTTTTTTTTGACTGAGGTAAACTATCTTCTGAGTTAGGGGTTATTTTGTTGTTGTTGTTGAATATTTTGGTATTTCGGACTCATTCTTGCTTGGATTAGAAAGTCGAAGTTGCAGAATAGAATTTTAGGGTGCTTAAGCAAAGTCTGTTACATTTATTTTTAATTGCCAGTGGTTGAAATGGAGAGTGAGTAATGTTAAAAACTAACATTTTTTTTTGGTGGTGTTTTAGAGCCCTTCCACAAGATGAGTAATCATGAACCTGGCTTCATGTTTACATATACTTCTGAAATCAACTGAAATTACTAGTTTTTAAAGATAGTTAGTAGTTGATTTTCAGAATTAATTTTCTTAGTTATTTTTAAACAAAGGGAATGAGATACTAGACTATAAAAATTAAAATCTCTCAAAAATTCTTTTAAAAAGAGCCACTGCAGCATATTGAAGTATTCGCTTTATTGTCTTTCTCTTCTGGTTAAAAATTTGGAGCATTGGTGACTGGCTGCTACCACCCACTCTGTGGGCTGGGACTACACATGTAGGCCCTACTTTGATTCCTGGTCTAGCAGCAGATCTAGTAACCACAAGATGAAGGCAGGAGGATCAGTCCGCAGTTCTCCTTTCAGACCAGGTGGCATAAAAATCATGCAGGGGAAAACAAAATTATGCTAGGTGCAGGGCCAGCGGATGGCATAATGGATATATCCCTGAACTCCCATGTAGGCAACTGCAGTTCAAGTCCCAGGCCTGGCTGCTTAAAACTCAAACTCAAGCTGCGTGCATGTGCATGTGTGCCCAAAATCCCGAGAGGAGAATGGAGGATGAGGAGGAGAAGGGATTACAGTGTGGCCATTCCCCTGTGTGTGTTTGTGTGGATTTCTTGCTTTCTGGCTCTCTGTCTATCCTGCAAGCACACATGCCCTATAGCAAAAATCTCTCAGAAGAAAAAAAAAAAAATCATGAGAATACATGTCAGTCCATGCCCAAAATCCCCAGAGGAGAACGGAAGAGGAAGAGGAAGGATGGGCCCAAAATCCCCAGAGGAGAATGGAAGAGGAAGAGGAAGGATGATGGCATGGCTATTCCCCATGGGGGTGATTTCTCTCTCTCTCTCTGTCTCTCTGGTGAACATGCTAATATAAGCGCTCTATAGCCAAAACATTTTTTTAAAAAGGTGATATATAGTCTGTTTTTTTCAAAATCTAATATCGTGGTCCAGCAGGTAGTATAGAGATTAAGGTGTTGGACTCTCAAGTGGCCAACTGTGGTTTAAGTCCCAGACCTGGTGGCTTGCTTTCTCACTTTCCCTCTCTCTGTCTCTCTCTCTGATGAGTGCCAATGAAGATAATAATAAAAATAAAATTAAATAAATCTTTAAAAAAGATCTAATATTACAGAAAGACATAAAAAAATGGTTTTCTGCCCAACTCACCCTCACGTACCTCTGATCTTATTTTCCAGAGTATCATTTTAAAAATTCCATTTATTATTATTATTTTTTAATTTGACCAGAGAGAGATGGCAAAGAGAGAAAGGGGAAAGGGAAAACCCAAGCCTCCAGGTCTAAGACTTGAACCACGGTCAGTCATGTGGGAATCCAGTGCCCTTAACCACCATGCCACCTGCCAGCCCCCAGAGTATCATTTTTTATTTGCTTAATTGCTACTCCATAGTTACTTTTCTAATTTTCAGTAACATGTCTATATCCCAGTTTGTTGGTTGGAATAAGTGTATTTCAATTGACACTAACTATACTGAGTCTATAGTTAAGACACGTTGGAGACAGTGAATTAAATTTGCACTGCAGTGTCACTAGTGAGAGTTAAGATAAGTGTCTGTAGTGTAGCAACTCACTCTAAGAGGTATTACTATGTTTGATTTGAAAGGAAACCACTGGGGCCAGCAGGTGGCATGGCAATTGAGGGCACTGGATTCCCACATGGCTGACCGTGGTTTGAGTCCCGGACCTGGTGGCTTTTTTCTCACTTCCCCCTCTCCCTCTTTCTCTCTTTCTCTCTCACTCTGTTCCTCTCTGGTCAAATTAAAAACAAATAAATAAAGTTTAATAAAATAGTGTTTTATAAATAAATAAAGTTTAATAAAATAATGCTTAAAAAAAAAGAAAGAAAACCACTACTTAATCACTGTTTTATTTATTCAGTTATTTATTTGGTTATAGGGTATGTCTGCTTGCCAGAGAGAGGCAGTGAGAGAAAGGGACAGGGAGAGTGAGAAATCCCCCCGCCCCCAGGATGGGTGGCCATGCAGCATTCCCTTCTCCAGTTTTCTCTCAGGATTTGGGGCATGCACACACATGCACCCAACGTGATTTTCAAGCTGCCGGGTCCTGGACTCAAACTGCCCAGTTGGCTATGTGGGATCCAGTGCCTTAGCTTCACACAACTTGCTGGCCCCCTTAATCAGTTGTCTTGGGGGGAAAAAGTTATTAGCAGAAGAGTGTAGTCTACTGGAGTCTAGAAAAAGAGAGCACAGAGAGATAGGCAGAAATAAAGTACCCACAGAAAGATATCAGATAAGCTTTTATAGAGTGATTGTGAGTAATTTACATCTTCTCAAAGTATACAGCACTGTCCTAGGAAAAGAGAACTGAGTTTGGTAGGCGTAAACATGATTGGAGAAGTCTGCTCTCTTGTACACCGGAGACAGTTTTCAGGCTTTACCTTGGCTTGAATGAAATATTCCTCAGGACCTTTTGACTTTGTGCCCCAGGCAGCCTTTTGACTTATTATTTAGTATTACTTCTTAATTTAACTTAATTTATTTATTTTAATTTGATCAGAGAGTGATAGACAGAGAGAGAGAGAGAGAAGGAAAATGAGAAAGAAAGCTGCCAGGTCCAGGACTCAAACCATGGTCAGCTATGTGGTAGTCCTGCACCCTCGATCACTATGCCACCTGCTGGCTCCTTGACTTATTAATTTAGCTTCCTACAACCTTTCATCACAGGGAGGGTATGTTTTGATAGCATGCATAACTATTTCGGTCACTAGATAGTGTATTTCTTTATTATAAATTAATGAATTTGTGAACTAATGAATAAGTGGATTTGTGTAGTATGTGTTCACCTGAGTATACTGATTTTAACTGTAGGGCATGTGTGCTTTCCAACGAGACAGAGAGAGAAAAAGCAAGAAATCACCTCCCAGGGGGATGGCCACACTTCAATCCCTTCTCCTCCAGTCTCCTCTTGGAATCTGGAACACGTATACACACACTCTTGGCATGAGTTTTAAGCTGCCGGGTCCAGGACTCAAACTGCTATGGACTATGTGCAAGTCCAGTGATGTAATCATTATGCCATCTGCTGGTACCCTCTGTGATTTTCAAGCTTCCACGTCCAGGACCTGAACTGTGGTCAGTCATGTGGGAGTCCAGTTCTATAACTACTTACCCCTTTTTGGGGCTCTTTCCTTTTTTTTTTTTTTCCTTAGGTTTTTGCCATAGGGTGTGTGTTTTCACCCAAGAGAGACAGTGAGAGGGAAAGTGAGAAATTACCCCTAAGGGGTAATGGCCACACTGCAATCCCTTCTCGTTTATTCTCCTCTCGGGATTTTGGTCATGCATGTACACATTCCCAGCTCCTGGCATGATTTTTTAAGCTGTGGGGTCCATGACAAACTGCAGTCAACTATGTCAGGGAGTCCAGCGCCTTATTCACCATGTCACCTTGTGGTCTGGAACCTACAGTTTTCTCAAGAAAATTTACTACCTGAACTCGACATTTAAATCTATTGGGGTGTTGGAGAAATCATGAAATATTTTTCTTTGTTTTTCTGTGCAAAAATGCATCATAACTTTTCTGATAACCCAATAGCTCATTTTCTTTTGTTGCTTTGATGAATAAAAAACATAATTTTAGCTCAAGTGTACTATCATGAATAATGGACTGCAAAGAAAAAAAGCTGATGAAGCTAAATTTTTAGTTTATGTCTTCTATTGGCCAAGTAACCAGAAATCTTTGTCACTAATATGCTTTTATGTTTTATTTAATGGGGATTAGAAGAAGAGTCATGTCAGAAGAAACAGTGAGCGAATCGCAGTTTTCCTTGAAGACAGCAGCGCTAAGAGTGTTTGATCTTCCTCTGTCTTGGTACTCTTCTCTCTCCCAGGTAAATAAAAGAAGCAAACATAAAGTTGAATAATAAGTTTGTTGCTCAGAACATATTTCGTTTACAGTATTTTAGTGTTAGTTGAATTTTTATGTGGTAAAGTAAAAATGTTTCTTTAAAGTCACTTAAAACCTACTTGGTTTTTTTTTTTTTTTTTTTTGAGAGGTTTTCAGGCGCGTGCGCTCGCCCAACAGACAGAGAGAGACGTAGAGACAGAAAGTGAGAAATCACCCCCCAGGGGGGATGGCCATGCCACAGTCCCTTCTCCATTCTCCTCTCGGGATCTTAGCACGCACGCACACATGCCCAGCGTGAGTTTTAAGCCACCGGGTCCGGGACGCGAACCGCAGTCAACTACATGGGAGTCCAGCGACATAGCCAATACGCTCATTGCTGGTTCCCAAAACCTACTTGGTTTTCATTTATTTTCCAGGTTTGATTTTTTTCAGGGGAAAGGAGGCCAAGGGGAGGTTGCAATGCTAGTAACACTTGAAAGGGGGTTGCCTTCCTTTACATTTTTTTCCTATCTTAGGTGATTTTACACAGTCAATAACAGTTATTTTCAGTAAATTATATTGCACTCCTTTTAATTTTATGGTAGTGAAATACGTATAATATAAAATTGCCATTTTAGCCTTTTAAGTTTGCTTTAGGGTGTGTGTGCTCACCAGAAAAAGAGAGAGAGGGAAAATGAGAAATAAATCCCTAGTGGAGTGGGCCACACCACAATCCCTTCTCTTTTACACTCCTCTTAGGATTTTTGGGCACAGGTGCACCCCGGGTGTTTTTCAAGCTGCTAGATCTGGAACTCTAACCACTTAGTCGGCCATGTGGAATCCAGCTGCCTCAACCACTATGCCACCAGCTGGTCCTGTTTGGCATGTTTTCTTTTTCTTTTCTTTCTTTCTTTTAATGAATTATTTTATTTAATTTTATTTGTCTGTTTACTTATTTTCTTTTAATTTGACCGGAGAGGGACAGAGAGAGAGAAAGTGAGAAAGCAAGCCGCCAGATCCAGGACTTGAACCGCAGTCAGCCATGTGTGAGTCTAACGTCCTTCGCCACCACGCCACCTGCCGGCCCTCTTTTTTTTAATTTTTAAGGGAGATTTTTGCTATAGGACGTGTATGCTCACCATAGAGACAGAGAGAGAAAACGTGGGGCCACGCCACAATCCCTTCTCCTTCACTCTCCTCTCAGGATTTTGGGCACACACACTCATGTGCATGGTATGAGTTTCAAGCTTCTGGGTCTAGGACTTGAACCATGGTCAACCATGTGGGAGTCTGGTACCTCATATACCACACCATCTGCTGAAACCATGTCTGGCATGTTTTATAAGCTACAGGGGCTGGGATTTGAACCTGGGACAGCCATGTGGGACCAGGCTCCCTCTGCATAACACTGCTGTGTTGTGGGCTGGCTGGCTGGAATCATACGGGGATTTGTCTTTTGGTGACTAGTTTAATTTATGTAACTCACCTTTCAGATTCATCCATATTTTAGCATATATCAGAATTTCCTTCCTTTTTTGGGAACAGCAGTTAGCATAATGGTTATGTCGCTGGACTCCCATGTAGTAGACCGCAGTTCGCGTCCCAGACCCGGTGGCTTAAAACTCAGGCTGGGCGCATGTGCGTGCGTGCCCAAGATCCCGAGAGGAGAATGGAGGAGAAGGGATTGCGGCATGGCCAACCCCCTGGGGGGTGATTTCTCGCTTTCTTTCTCTCTGTGTCTCTCTGTCTATCTGGTGAGCGCACGCGCCCTATAGCAAAAACTTCTAAAAAAAAAAAAATTTTCCTTCTTTTTTAAGGTAGAATGATAGTTGATAATATGAATATGTCACTATTTTTCATTTTTAAAAAGTTTAATTTATTCATTACAGAATGTTTGCACATGCATACAAAGTAGATGGGGGAGAGTGGAGAGAAACAGAAAAAGAAAGAAACGGGCACCCTCAGTAGGGTCTGGTCATGCCACAGTGTTCCCATAGTCCTCTAACTTGTCAAGGCCTTGGGTGGTTAAAGGCTGTGGACTCCCACATGATTGACCACAGTTTGAGTCCTGGACCTGGAGGCTTGCTTTCTCCCTTTCTCTTTCTCTCTCTCTCTGTCTCTCTGGAAATATTAAAATAATAATAATAAATAAAGTTAAATAAATTAATTCTCTTTTAAAAAGAAAGAAAAATATGTCTTAACTTTTCCAACAACCCAATACCTTTAGGTCTTTGGTATTTTTCTTTTAAATAATTATTTTATTTAGGGCTGGCAGGTGGCGTGGTAGTTAAAGGTGCTGGATTCCCACATGGCCAACCGCGGTTTGAGTCTCAGACCTGGTGGCTTGCTTTCTTACTTTTTCTTTCTCTGTCTCTGTGTGATCAGATTAAATAATAATAACTGTTATTATAATAATAACAGTAACAAACAGAATTAAATACTTTTGAAAAAGAATTGTTTTATTTAACTTTATTTATTTGTTTGTTTTAATTTGACCAGGGAAGAACAGAATGAGAGCAGAATGGGTAGAGGAAGTGAGAAAGCAAGCTGCCAGGTCCGAGATTTGAACCACCTACAGCCATGGGGAAACCAGCACCCTTAACTATCACTCCATCTGCCACCTCCCCACTTTTTATTTTTTACATAGACAGGGCCTTGCTGTTGCAGTCCTCTTGCCTCAGACTCCTGAGTTCTGGGTTATAGGCATATGGTGGAATGCCCAGCCTTTACACTGGCTCAGGAATCGAATCCAACCTCCCCTGTGGTCTCGGCCTGTGGAGCACAGTGTGTTAGCAGCATGTGCTGCCACAGCTGGACCCTGATCCTTTCTGCGTTAATTTTTTAAAGTTTATATTTATTTCTTTCATGAGGAAGAGAGAAATGCTTTTCCTTATTTTCTAATTTGAATGCTTTTTCTTTCTTTTTCTTACCTAATTGTTCTGGGAAGAACTTGCAGTACTGTGTTGAATGGAAGTGGTGGGAGTGGACATGCTTGCCTTGTTCCTGACCTTACGTAATGGGGAAGAGCTTTCAGGCTTTCCCCATTGAGTGTGATGTTTGTTGTGGCTCTTATTATTTTGAGGTAGTTTTCTTCTATTCCTTGTTTGTTGAGTGTGTGTGGGTTTTTGTTTAAATTTTTTCTTTATTCACTATAGAGCAGTGTGTGCACACGGAGGGAGGGAGAGAGAAAACCATGAGCTATGAGCATTCTCACAGGGTCTGGTTATGCCGCGATCCTCCTCCTCCAGCTCTGTGACCTGTTGGATCTTGGGCCCTTGTATGTGTACCTGGCGTGTTTCAGGTCGACTGGGCTGGGAATTCAAACCCTGGTCACCCTGTGTGGTCAGGCTGCCCTTGAGCAGCACTTTATTGCTACATGTTGGAACCAGTTTTTCATATTTATCAATCCCCAGGGCCAGGACTGGAACTATTCTGCCATATGGGATCCAGCTTCCTCAGCATAGGGCCTGACCGCCGCACTATGGAACCAGCTTCCACTCATGTGTCTTTTGTTTTAACTTCCTTTCTTTCTTGAGTGTGAGAGACAAGAGAAAGAAGGGCACAAGCACCTTCAGTAAGGTCTCATGCCTCTTTTCTCCCCACCTACCCCCTAGCCTTCCCAGCCAGCCCAGCATCATGGGCACATACCCAGCATGTACAGGTCAGCTGAGGAATCAAACCTGTAATCTTTTTTAGAGAGATTTCTTTGCTATAGGGCACAGGTGCTCGCCAGAGAGACAGAGACAGGAAGTGAGAGATTCCCCCCTGGTGGAATGGCCACCCCACAATCCCTTCTCCTCCAGTCTCCTCTTGGAATTTCAGGCACGCACGCACGCATGTGTGCTCAGCATGAGTTTCAAGCCTCTGGGTCCGGGACTCAAACCACAGTGGGCCATGTGGGAGTCCACCGACATATTCTCATTATCCTATCTGCTGATCCCAAACCTATAATCTTTTAAAAAGTTTTTTTTTCTTTTTTTTTTTTTTTTATGAAAGAGAGACTAGGACCCACAACGCCATGGTCTTGCCACATCATGATCCTACCCCAGCCTTCCAGCCAGCCAGGACCGTCGGTATACCTGGCATATTCATTCCTATCTAGGAACAGAAGCCAGGGCTTCCCATGTTGTCCGGAATCACGCAACAGCACCCTACCACCTGTGCTGCTATGGCTGGGCTTATTGAATTTTTTACATGACTTCGTCAAATGCTTTTTCTGTATCAATTGAGATGATCCTGTATTTTTTTTGTTTATTTTGTTAATGTGATATGTTGCATTGATCAGTTTCCGTATGTCGACCCACCTTTGCTGTGGCATCAGGACCCTTTCTGGGGAATGGCTCCATGGCTGGGGAATTAGGGCATTCGAATCCCACATGGCTGATTGTGTGGTTCCAGTTCTGGAACTGATGGCTTGAGAAACAAGCCATGTATGTGTGAGTACCCAGAATCTCAGAGAGAGAGAAATGGAAGAGAAGGAATTGCGGCATGACCATTCCAGCCGAGGGTGCTTTCTCCTCTCCCTTTCTTTTCGCGTCTCTCTGTTGAGCACATATACCCTCTAGCAAAAAAAAAAAAAAAGTCAATAGAAAAATTTTAAAAAGACCCTTTTAGGGTACTATCTCGCTGCCTTTCTTGCTCATGGAAGAAATAAAGAAAATATACTTAAAAAAAAAATCTAGAAGTAGTCCTGTCCCTCACTGAACTTACAGCATAAGAGATCCTCTTAAATCCCACCTTCAAAAAAAAGGTCTGATAAGTACTGTGTTAGCGTGGGAGACAAACTTAGTTCTACGAAGAAGTTTATGGTTGGTAGAGAGAAATAAGGTTATTGGAGCAGAAGTATAAGTGACTAAATGAACTTTTCTCTGTCTTCAGAAAACACTGTAAGGGGAGGAAACCTGACGAGAAGATTAAACAGTGGCATCAGGTTATAGAGCGGGGAGAACTGTGAAATCTGAGCACAAGGAACAGTGTATGCTTCCTTTTTTTGTATTCTCAGTGCCTGGCCTTTAGGTCGATGCTCAATTAATGTTGAATGAGCAGGACATGAGTTCTCTGATCTCTCTGTTCTGTTAGAGATAGGGAAGTACCCTGCGCCACTTCAGAAAGCACCTCTGAACTTTAGACTTCTGAGATGCTTCATTTCCAGTGTTCCAGGTACTGATGCAAAAAGCAATCCACTTTTCTCGGGGCGGGAGATGAACGTAGCAAAAATAAGTGATGGACAGGAGAAATATTAGAGGTATCTAAGTCTTGTGTTGGCTAGATTACTGAGGAGCTTTCCCTGGAAATTTTGTTGCCTTATTTTTGTCATGGAAAAGGTTTCTTTTTTCATGAAATAGAAGCTACAAATTTTAATAGATCTCACATGTAAAAATAATACCTAATAAGGGCCAATAGATGGCGTAGCAGTTATGTTGCTAGACTTCACATGGCTGACCGAGATTCAAGCCCCAGATGTGGTGACTTGCTTTCTCACTTTCCTTCTCTATCTGTGTGTCTCTTTCTGGTTAGTACATATGCCCTATAGCAAATTTAAAACAATTTAATTAAATTAAATAAATAATTCTTTTTCAGAAATATGGCTAGCTGTCCTTGAAAGAGTGAAATTATATTCTTTTAGTAGCATTTAGGAATAGATTAAGGTTCGTTCTTACATCGTTGTTTATTTAATTTTTAAGAATTATTTTATTTAACTGTACTTATTTATCTATTTATTTAAATTTGACCAGAGAGGAACAGAGCAAGAGAGGGAAAGTGAGAAAGCAGGCTGCCAGCTCTGAGACTCAAACTGCAGTTGGCCATGTGGGAGTCCAGTGCCCTTAACCACTACGCCACCTGCCAGCCCCCTTACATCCTTGTTTAAATGAACAAATAAAAGACATTTTTTTCAATCTGTTTTTTTCCAGATCAAATTTTCACCAGTAGCTAAAAAGTTGCTTGTAATAACTGCAGTGAGTACAATATCTGTAATTTTTCTGGCCCATCACTTCAAAAGAAGACGTGGAAAGAAAAAAGGAAAAATATTACCATGGGAACCAGAGCACCTAATACTTGAATACGCTAAAAGAGCAGCATCAGATAAAGGTATGTAGAGAGAGCTGAATTAGGTCAATGAGAAAAGCTGCATTTATAAATTATGAAAGGAATCTATGTGGTGATTTCAGTGTTTTAGTCTCCAAAATTTCTTCCTTATTATTTAACTCACAAGTAATAGGTTTACTTTAAAAAGCAAATCTGGCAGTTAAAAAAGAAAGAAAAACTCAGATATGATGTCTGCCCTAGAAGAATGGACAGCTAGAAGAAACAGATGTATAAAAAATCTAAATACAGGGGCTGGCAGGTGGCATGGTGGTTGAGGGTTCCGGAGGCTTGCTTTCTCACTTTCCCTCTCTCTTTCTCACTCTGTCCCGCTCTAGTCAAATTAAAATAAATAAAGTTAAATAAAATTATCCTAAAAAAAATAAAACTAAATATAACATAATGCAGTATGGGGTCCAACCAGTGGCCTAGGGGTTCCGACAGCTGGGTCCCATATTGCTGACCATGTGGTTCATGTCCTGGGCCCAGTGACTTGAGAAACGTGTTAGGCACATGTGTACATGTGCCCAAAATCTCAAAAGAAGGAAGAGATGGAGGAGAAGTGATTGCAATGTAATCGTACCCGTAAGAGGTGCTTTCTTACCTTCTCTGTCTCTATCTGTGTCTCTCAGATGAGCACAAGCACCCTCTGGAAAATTAAAAAAAAAAAAGAAAGAAAGAAAGAAAATGCAATATGGATAAGGTTTAGATGTAACTCAGGAAAGTGTTTATGTTAATTAAATTTACAATTTGAAGGCTCAGAGTTGCCAATATTTTTTAATTGCCAGAGGGCACATGAACTTGCCAGAGACAGCAAGATGGGGTTTGGGGAGGAAGTACTTCCCAAGTAGGGTATGATCGTGCCACAATCCCTTTGTTTCCTTTTCTCCATTCTGTTGGGATATTGGACATATGTATACTGGTATGTTTTCAAGTTACCAGGCCAGAATTCAGGCTCTTGTTGGTCATGTGGGATGCAGTTCCCTTATCCACTAGGCTATAGAGTCAGCCCAGTTGACAGTATTTTTATACTAACTACAATGTATCATTCAAATAACATCCTATTTAATTAGGTAGAAGTTTTACTCTATACTTCAGAGGATTTTTTTTTAAATATTTAACTTTATTTATGTAAATTTGACCAGAGATGGACAGAGTGAAAAAGAGAGAGAAAGTGAGAAGGCACACCGCCAGTCTGGGACTTGAACTGTGGTCAACCACGTGGTAGTCCAGTGCCCTTAACCACCACGACACCTGCCAGCCCCTATTTCAGCAGATTTTTAGCAGCATTAAAAACAATATATACAAGATACAGATTTTAATAATGGTTTACATTTAATCATTTTATACATGTGTGTTTTAAAATCAGAAGCTTTCTGGATAAATATAGCATGAACTTTGAGATTTTATCTGAAATTTATCATTGAGGTTGTCAATACTTTTAATACTAATGTTTGTTTGGTAGGTTCAAGTTGTTCCAGTAGTAGACAGAATTTAACATTATCTTTAAGTTCCACCAAAGACAAAGGATCTCAGTCTTGTAACTATGTGAATGGAGGACTTTTCAGTAAATACTCAGGTTCTGCACAGAGTTTGGCTTCCGTAAGTAAAGAGAAGATATGATTTTTCTTATGTTTGTTTATATATCTCTTGTTACCGATCAATGAAAGTATACATTTAGACCTCACGGTATGTAAAGAACCTTAAGAAATCATCTGGTTGAATCTACTTTCTTTCTTTTTTTAAATTTTATTTATTTATTTTTTGAGAGGTTTTTGCCATAGGGCACGTGCGCTCGCCAGACAGAGAGAGAGAGAGAGACGGAGAGACAGAAAGAGAGAAATCACCCCCCATAACATCCTATTTAATTAGGTAGAAGTTTTACTCTATACTTCAGAGGATTTTTTTTTAAATATTTAACTTTATTTATGTAAATTTGACCAGAGATGGACAGAGTGAAAAAGAGAGAGAAAGTGAGAAGGCACACCGCCAGTCTGGGACTTGAACTGTGGTCAACCACGTGGTAGTCCAGTGCCCTTAACCACCACGACACCTGCCAGCCCCTATTTCAGCAGATTTTTAGCAGCATTAAAAACAATATATACAAGATACAGATTTTAATAATGGTTTACATTTAATCATTTTATACATGTGTGTTTTAAAATCAGAAGCTTTCTGGATAAATATAGCATGAACTTTGAGATTTTATCTGAAATTTATCATTGAGGTTGTCAATACTTTTAATACTAATGTTTGTTTGGTAGGTTCAAGTTGTTCCAGTAGTAGACAGAATTTAACATTATCTTTAAGTTCCACCAAAGACAAAGGATCTCAGTCTTGTAACTATGTGAATGGAGGACTTTTCAGTAAATACTCAGGTTCTGCACAGAGTTTGGCTTCCGTAAGTAAAGAGAAGATATGATTTTTCTTATGTTTGTTTATATATCTCTTGTTACCGATCAATGAAAGTATACATTTAGACCTCACGGTATGTAAAGAACCTTAAGAAATCATCTGGTTGAATCTACTTTCTTTCTTTTTTTAAATTTTATTTATTTATTTTTTGAGAGGTTTTTGCCATAGGGCACGTGCGCTCGCCAGACAGAGAGAGAGAGAGAGACGGAGAGACAGAAAGCGAGAAATCACCTCCCAGGGGGGATGGCCACGCCACAATCCCTTCTTCTCCTCCATTCTCCTCTCGGGATCCTGGGCACACACGCACATGCGCCCAGCGTGAGTTTTAAGCCACCGGGTCCGGGACTCGAACTGTAGTCGACTACGTGGGAGCCCAGCGACATAGCCATTACGCTAACTGCTGGTCCCAATCTGCTTTCTTTAGACAAGTAAACATATCCTCTTGCTAAATATTCAGCTAGCATGATTCCAGCTTTCTCTGAGTTAATGATGTGGTCTCCTTGGGCTCTCTGAAAATGACATTGATGTGGAAATGTTGCTTCAAGATTAAATGTGTTGCAGAAAGCTAGATGCGGCCAGACTTTGTGCTGGTCACCAAAGTCACTTGAAGACCTTACTTAGGTAGAGGTGTTTGGCTTGCTGAAGCGAAGTGTGGGATTTCTCTCCTTCTTCTTAGGAGCGTTAATATGGTATTGGCTGACAAGTAGAAGACCACTCTTCTTTTGTGCATTAATGTAATATTGATTAACAAGTAAGCAATGATGTTGCATTTGTTTAAATCTAATGTAGTTTAAATATTACTTTCAAACTAGGTAGACCATACTCTTCAGTATAGAACAAATAAAAGGATGTACAGTGAAAATGTATTCTTGATCCACTCAGTTCCCCTACTCTTGGTGACAAACAGTATTGAATAATTTCTTATATAGACTTTCAGGGATTTCATTATTCTACCTTCATGTAGTTTTATTTTTCTTAATAGTATGTAAAATACCACATTCTGTTTGTGCCTTGCTTTTTTTTTCCTCCAGTGAGTATTTTTATTTAACTTTATTTATTTATTTATTTTAATTTGACCAGAGAGGGACAGACAGAGAGAGAGAGAGAATGGGAACGTGAGAAAGCAAGTCACACCAGTCTGGGATTCAAGCCTTAGCTGGCCATGTGGGAGTTCAGCACCCTTAACTACCATGCTACTGGCTGGCCCCTGTGCCTTGCTTTTATATCTCATTGACATGTATAGCCAACCTATTTTATAATGCCTAAAAATATACTTTTTTTTTTTTTTTTAAGTTTACAATAGGGTATGTGAGCTTACCAGAGAGAGACAGGGAGAGAGAGAGAAAAAAAGTGAGAAAGCCCTCCCCAGGGAAAATAGCCATGCCACAATTCTCTTGGGATTTTGAGCATGCACATACACCTGTCATGATTTTCAGTGGGATCCAGTGCCTCAGCTGTCACACTACCTGCTGGCCTATGGCCTCCATTTTTTTTTTAAATTTATTAACTTATTTTAATTTGACCATATAGAGACAGAGAGAGAGAAAGAGGAAAAATGAGAAAGCAAGCCACCAGGTCCACGATTTGAACCTCAGTCTGCTATGTGGGAGTCCAGCACCTCAACTACCGTGCCACCTGCTGGTCCCATGGGCTCCATTTTTGATACAGTCACTTGAGATGGCAGCAGAAGGGCCAAGTGGAACCACCTAATATTCAGATCAAAATATGGGCGTACACTTCTCAAAAGAGGACAAAACTGGATTTAAGGACTTGAGAGTCATCTGCATAGAAGTGAATGAGGTGACTGGCTTGTGGACCTTGCTAAGGACAGGCATGTAAAAAGGTGATAGTAGGGACCAGCAGATTGGTGTAATGGTTATATTGCGGGACTCCCACATGGCCGACTGTGGTTCAGGTCCTGGACCTTAAAATTCATGCCAGGCGTATGTGCATGCATACCCAAAATCCCAAGAGGAGAATGAAGAAGAAGGGATTGCGTGTGGCTATCAGCCTTGAGGGGTGATTTTTCACTTTCTGTCTCTCTCTCTTTTTGGGAGCACAGACGCCCTATAGCAAAAATCTCTCTCTTACACACACACACACACACACAGTAGTAGTAGCTTTTCAGTGTTAGTTAAAATTTAGCAGATAGTCAGCACTCTTAAAAATTTAAAGGGGCTCTTGGGAACCAGCTGTTAGCATAATGGCTATGTCGCTGGACTCCCACGTAGTCGACTGCGGTTCGCGTCCCGAACCCGGTGGCTTAAAACTCACACTGGGTGCGTGTGCGTGCGTGCTCAAGATCCCAGGAGGAGAATGGAGGAGAAGGGATTGCGGTGTGACCATCCCTCCTGGGGGGTGATTTCTCACTTTCTGTCTCTGCTGTTTGGTGAGCGCATTCGCCCAATAGCGAAAAAACCTCTCCAAAAAAAAAAAAAATTTAAAGGGGCTCTCTCTCTCTGGTCAAATTAAAATAAATAAATGAATAAATAAAATTAAACTAAATAATTTTTTAAAAATCAAAGGGGAAAAAGCTTGCTATCTTTTTTTTTTTTTTTTTGGAGAGATTTTCACTGTAGGGCGCGTGCGCTCGCCAGACAGAGAGAGACATAGAGACAGAAAGCGAGAAATCACCCCCCAGGGGGGATGGTCATGCCGCAATCCCTTCTCCTCCATTCTCCTCCCGGGATCTTGGGCACGCACGCACATGCGCCCGGCGTGAGTTTTAAGCCACCGGGTCTGGGACACGAACCGCGGTCGACTACGTGGGAATCCAGCGACATAGCCATTACGCTAACTGCTGGTTCCCAAAGCTTGCTATCTTAAAGTAGATGTAGATAAAATTCGTAAGTAAATACTTAGAGTTGTAAATAATATAAAAATAACTGTCTGGTTGCTGGTCTCTAACTGCCTGATTTTTTTTTTTTTTTGGAGAGGTTTTTGCTATAGGGCGTGTGCACTCACCGGAAAGACAGAGACAGAGAGGCAGAAAGCAAGAAATTACCCCCCAGGGCAGATGGCCATGCCACAGTCCCTTCTCCTCCATTCTCCTCTTGGGATCTTGGACATGCATGCACACACGCCTGTCATGAGTTTCAGCCACTGGGTCCGGGACTTGAACCGCAGTTGACTACATGGGAGTCCAGCAACATAGCCATTAAAGCCAACTGCTGGTTCCCTGCCTGATATTTTTTTAAAGGATTGTTTTATTTATTATTATTATTATTATTTAATTTGCTATAGGACATATGTGCTCACCAGAGACAGACAGAGAGGGAGGGAAAGTGAGAAAGCAAGCCACCAGGTCCCAGACTCAGACCGTGGCTGGCCATGTGGGAGTCCAGCACCTTAACCACCATGCCACCTGCTGGCCCCAACTGCCTTATTTTTTAATGGAAATAACTGATATATGTTTAAAGTATTGTTGTACTTGTATGTATATTTTTAATAATTACTTATTTTATTTATTCATTCATTTATTTTAATTTGACCAGAGAGAGACAGAGAGAGAGAAAGATTGAGAAAGCAAGCTGCCAGGTCCAGGACTCAAACTGTGGTCAGCCATGTGGGAGTGTCCAGCACCTTAACCACCACGAAACCTGCTGATCCCTGTACTTGTATATTTTTAAGTGAACAGAGGCTTATAATATTTAGGGTTATATGACTGCTGAGTATGATTAAATATAATTAGGATTATTCAGGTGGAAATTGTAGGGACTGTTTTACTAGCAATAGGGTTTACATAAATTTATGAATATAAAAGATCATAACATACTATCATATGAGATTTTTAAAAATTATTTATTTTAATTTTATTTATTCCTTCATTTATTTTACTTTGACCAGAGAGAGACACGGAGAGAGACAGAGGGAAAGTGAGAAAGGAAGCCACCAGTTCTGGGACTCAAACTGTGGTTGGCCATGTGGGCGTGTCCAGTACCTTAACCACCATACCACCTGCTGGCCCCCCATATGAGATATTTTAAGTAACTTTTGTCAATCTTAATTTTAGGTCCAGAGTGTCAATTCTTGTCATAGCTGTGCTTGTGGCAATTCTAATTCCTGGGACAAAGCTGATGAAGATGACATTAAACTTGTTAATATTCCTGTGACCACTCCTGAGAACTTATACTTAATGGGTAAGGATAACATGATAAAGTTTTGTAATACTATGTTCATATTTAATTTGAAAGTAAAAAACAGCACATCTTCTAAGATAGTAACTATAATTTAAAAATGTTCTTATATATCAAATCTCATCTACATAACATCACCCATTGTATTAGAGTGCCATTAACAAATTACCACAAATTACCAACATAGCCGTTATGCCATCTTCTGACCCCACTCAATTCTTACCTCGTGAATCTGTAAGAATCCATTTTACTTAATCTGTTTTTTTAACTAGTTTATTTTTTAACTTTATTTATTATTATTATCATTATTATTTTCCAGTTTGATCAGAGAGAGACAGAGAGAGAGGAAGTGAGAAAGCAAGCCACCTGGTCTGAGACTTGAACCGTGGTCGGCCATGTGGGAGTCCAGCGCCTTTAACCACCATGCCACTTGCTGGCCCCCTTAATCTGTCTTATCTAGGTATCATTTGTATTCTTTTTATATACAGAAAAAATTTAAATATAAAGGCAGCCTTCAGTGTTTCACATCTTAGTATTCCTCTTGGTTTGACCATGAGCATGGCTAGGGAGCTTCCCTGGAGACTTGGAAAACAATCAGATGAACCTGATGCTGAATCAGAAGATTCAAATGCTTTTCTCTCTTCTCCACTCAGTTTCAATCTGTATTCCTTTTAATGGAAAGACATTCTAGAGAAAAAACAAAAACAAAATTTTTTTAAAGAATTATTTTCTTTAACTTTATTTATTCATTTATTTTAATTTGACCAGAAAAGGACAGAGTGAGAGAGAGAAAGAAAGCAAGTCACTAGGTCTGGGACTTGAACCACAGTCAGCCATGTGAGATTCCAGTGCTCTTAACCACCATGCCACCTGCCGGCCCCCCAAATTTGTGTTTAATCGTCAGTGGTACATGTGCTCTCCAGAGAGAAAGGGAGAGGCAGGCAGGGGCGGGGACAGGGAAAGGGAAAAAGCATTCCCCACTGGGGCATGGTCATGCCACAATCCCTTTTCTTCTATTTCTCTATCCTGCCAGGTTTGGGGCATGAACACATGGAAATACTCCTCGTATATTTTTCAAGTTTTTAACACCAGGATTTAAACTGATCAGCCACATAGGATCTGACTCCCTTAACCACTAGGTTACAGGGCTGACCCCCAAAACAAATGTGTGGCCCTGGCCAATAAGTAGTGAAAGGATTGGTGACTTGGCAGAGGACTGTGTGCTTTGCTTTGCTTTGCTTTGCTTTGCTTTGCCTTGCCTTGCCTTGCCTTGCCTTTTCTTTTCTTTTCTTTTTTTTTTAAGAGGTTTTTGCCTTAGGGTGTGTGTGCTCACCAGAGAAGGAGAAACAGTGACAGTGAGAAGGAAAGTGAGAAATCCCCCCCCTCCCCCCCGGGGGAGATGGCTATACCCCCAACTCTTCTAGCATTTTGGGCACACACACACACACACACACACACACCCAGCGTAATTTTTCAAGCCACCAGATCCAGGACTCAGACTGCAGCCGGCCATGTGGGAGTCCTAACACTTTAACCACTATGCCACCTGTAGCCCCTAAATGTTGTAACTTCTTGTCAACTAATTTCTTCTATTAATTTTCTTTTTAATTTAGGGTGTGTATGTTTTAGTTTTGCCAAGGGGCATGTTTTTCTTTCTTTCTTTTTTTAAAAAGAATTATTTTATTTAACCCCCATGGTCATGGGTGCATGCACCCGGTGTGTACAGGTCACCCTCATGGCTACTGTGGCTGGGCACTGTTGAACTTTTTATTTTTTATTTTGAGGATAATATTTTAATCCTTCAATTGTAAAAGAAAATTATAGGATTGGAAAAATTTCTCTTTATGAAGACTAACATGAACCAAATTTACAGACTTAAGGAACCATTTCAGGAATTGTTGTGATTTTGTAGTAACTATGCTTCAGTTGCCATGCCATACACCTGGAAACCATCCATTTCAACTTCTGAACATTTGGTTTGAAACACTTGTTTAATGAATATTCAGTTAAACTCTAGGTATAAATTCTTGCCAGAAGGTCAAATTTCTGCCATTTATCTTGGAGTGTTTTTGAAGACATTCTATTCCTTCTGTTAACTGTACGCTGTGCTTGGATCTCCGATGCAGTAAAAGACAATGCCAACACAGAAGACTTTGCTTTAGAAAACATGATGCTATAGTGGCATGCCTTAAGTTGAGCTTCTAGTCTTTCAAAATTAAGGCTATTTCTCCTTTCAAATGGCAAGTTCTCTTGAGTGAGTGAATAGTAGAGATGCAGAAACTGAAAGGCAGAAGTAGCTTTGATTTTCCAATACTGTCTTCTCTATTCTCATCAAATCTAAAACCGTGAACTTCTATTGACTAATTGGAATCAAGTCAGTTGCCAGTGGGACATTCCTCTCATCTTCTATTGATTTTACAGCCAAATAGAAGCAACTCAGTCCTACACACTCAATGTGCTTGGGCTGTACCTTCATTTTAGACAGGAATCTGTCAGTAAATTCACAGCTAGAGAAAATGTCTCCATGTCAAAGCAAAGAACTGAGTTAGACTAAGATCTTTTACTTCAAGGTCCCTTAGCCTAGCAGTCATTCTGAGGCCATTATCGTATGCAGACTCAATTAGTCTCAAGCCACAGGCCTTTGACATCTAGACTCCTGTTCCAACAGGGCATTCAGCTGGCGTAGCTGTTCCTGAGAGTCAGTTGTCAGTGCCTCTATCATCTTGATAGTGACTGCAGCTCCTCAGTGGTAATCACCCTTCCCAGGCCTGCTCTCACCCCACGATATCAGAACCAAGAGCCCTGTAAAGTGAGGGGCCTCAAGGGTGAGAGGGGAGTGACCCGGGGAGGGTGAGCCCTCCTGGCTGGAGGTCTCCACAGTGCTTCCGAGACAACACTGCCTAACCAGGGTCAGCTCAGAGCCAAATGGGTGACACTGTTGGACTTTTGATAAAAGCACGATAGAGTTCTGGAAAAATTCCATACACTACACACATTTGAGTTACATTTTTTTTAAAAATAGAAACATCTTAGTCATTTTCTCTGATTTTTGGTTGACTAGAGCTATAGCCCCAGAATATATTAGAAAATTAAGAGACTAGTAGGACATGATGTGAGCATAAAATTATTTTTTGTGCAAAAATTACACTCAGGTTGTACCACTAATTATAACTATATGAAAACATCTTAGACCCCAATTAATTTTATTTTGGCATTGGTTTTGCTTGTTTATAACTGTTCTGTTCTTAATTTTTAGGTATGGAATTGTTTGAAGAGGCCTTACGTCGATGGGAACAAGCTCTAACCTTCCGTAATAGACAAGCTGAAGATGAAGCCTGCGGTTCTATTAAGCTGGGTGCTGGAGATGCCATTGCTGAAGAAACCGTAGATGTAAGGATTTATTAAGAGTGGTTTTCATGTTGAAAAAAATCAAACAATTTTTCATCTTGACACAGTGTACTTGTTTTCAGTGGCATTTAATAGGACTTTTTTTTTTTCTTGCTTGGGACTATGTGGGATATTTCTTTAAAAAAATTTTTATTTTTGTTCATTTAAGTGTTCAGTGCCAGATTTGCCATTCATCATCATCTTTTATAACTAGAATATTTAGAATAAACAGATATAATTTTTCTTTCTTTCTTTTTGGTTTTTGGCACAGGGTTAATGGAGAGAGAGAGAGAAAGAAATCACCCCCACCCCCCCAAGTGTGATAGCCACACCACACTCCCTTCTCTTCCATTCTCCTCAGGATTCTGAGCATGCAAACACACGTGCCCAGTGTGATTTTCAAGCTGCTGGGTCTGGAATTCAAACTGCCTTTGGCTGTGTGGAAATCCAGTGCCTTAATCACCATGCCACCTACTGATCCCAACAGATAAGATTTCCCAAGAACTTATTTATTCATTTATTGTTATTTTTTAATGCCACAGGCTATGTGCACTCTCTATAGAGAGAGAAAAAAACACCTCCCAGTAGAGTATGGTTATACTGTAATCCTTTCTCCTCCATTTCTCTGTCCTATCAGGATCTTGGGCACTCATGCTTATGTGCCCCTGTGTTCTTCAAGCCACCAAAGTAAAATTGTGACCAGCCATGCGAGATTTGACTTCGTATGCATAGTACTTAACCATTGCCTATGAGTCAGCCCTCTAAAGCACTTTTTAAAAGTTTATTTTGTGCTTTTTAATTGTCATTGTATCATAAAATTACATAGAGGTTGCGTCAACAAGTGGTGTGGTGGTTAAGGGTGCTGGACTCTCACATGGCTGACTGCAGTTCAAGTCCTGGACCTGGCAGCTTTGCTCTCTCACTTTCTTTCTCTCTTGATCTGTCCCTCTCTGGTCAAATTAAAAAATAAGTAAGTAAATAAATAAAGTTAAATTTAAAAAATCTTGAAAAAAAATTACATAGAGGTAGAGCTAGACTGGTCCTTAGAGATCATTTAGGCAAGCTAGTGGTTCTCAAACTTGAGCATGGATTGGAGTCCCCTTGACAGCTTGTTAAAAACATATTGGGGGGGCAGCAGGTGGAATATGGTTAAGGCGCTGGATCCCACATGACTGACTACAGTTTGAGTCCCGGACCTGTTGGCTTGCTTTCTCACTTTCCCTCTTTCTTTCACTCTGATCTTTTCTGGTCAAATTAAAATAAATAAATAAATACAGTTAAATAAAATAATTATTTTTTAAAAATTTGCTGAGGGACAGCAAATGCGTAATGGTTGTGTCACTAGACTCCCACATGGCCGACTGCAGTTCGAGTCCTGGACCCAGTGACTTTAAACTCACACTAGGCACATGTGCATATGTACTCAGGATCCCTGGAGGAGAAGAGATTGAGGCATAGCCATCCCCCACTCCCAGGGGTGATTTCTCACTTTCTGTTTCTCTCTCCAGCGGGCACACACACGCTATAGCAAAAATCTCTCTCAAAAAAAAGAAATAAACATACTTAGGAGGCTGGACTGTGTGACACGTGATAAAATGTAATGCTCTGTGAGGCTGACCCCCATGGGAAGTTGCCAGGCACACTCGTGTCTGTGATCCAGGGCTGGGTGAAGCAGGGGTGGATCTTGGTTTCAAGATCCTGTTGTGGGGACCAGCAGTTAACGTAATGGCTATGTCGCTGGGCTCCCACGTAGTAGACCGCGGTTCGTGTCCCAGACCCGGTGGCTTAAACTCACACCGGGCGCGTGTGCGTGCGTGCCCAAGATCCCGAGAGGAGAATGGAGGAGAAGGGATTGCAGCGTGGCCATCCCCTCTGGGGGGTGATTTCTCGCTTTCTAGCTCTCTGTCTCTCTCTGTCTGTCTGGCGAGCGCACGCGCCCTATAGCGAAAAAAAACTCTCCAAAAAAGATCCTGTTGTGGATGTGCTGTCTCTTTCTCTTTGTGTGTGTCTCTGTCTTTCTCACTCATGAAAGAAAGAAACAAACCTAAAAAAATAGATTTGGGGGGCCAGAAGGTAGCGTAGTGGTGACAGGGGGCTGGACTACTACATGGCTGGCTGCAGTTGGAGTCCTGGACCTGGTGGGTTGCTTTCTCACTTTATTCTCTCTTGCTCTGTCCCTCTCTGGTCAGTCGGTCTGTCTGTCTGTATGTATGTATAAATAAACAAACAAACAAAATACAATAATGAAAAAAAATAGGTTTGGAATCCTATCCTTAGGATTTCTAATTCAGTAAAACAGGGAGTGGATTCTGAGAATGTTTGTTTTTATTTTTATTTGTAATATTTAAAAAATTTTGCAATGCATATGCTCACTGGAAAGAGAGTGAGAAAAAGAGTAAGCATTGGAGCCCACAGATGGCATAGTGGTTATGTTGCTGGACTCCTATATGGCTGACCATGGTTTGAGTCCTGGACCTGGTGGCATGAAACGCACTGCGCACATGTGTGTGCATGCCCAAAATCCCAAGAGGAGAATGGAGGAGAAGGGATTGTGGCGTGGCCATTTCCCTTGGGAGATGATTTCTCATTTCCCCTCTCACTGTCTGTCTGTCTCTTTCTCTCCAGTGAACACACACTCCCTAAGGCAAAAACCTCTAAAAAAATGAAAACAAAACCAAAAGAGAGAGAAAGAAAGCACCCTCTTGGGAGGGGTATAGCCACAACACAAACCCTTCTCCTCCATTCTCTTCACAGGATTTTGACTACACACACACACACACACACCTGCAGTTGGCCATGTGTGAGTCCAGTGACACAACCATTACGCCATCTGCTGGTCCTTTAAAATTATGCATTAAACTATGCCTGAGGAAATAAATTTATTATTTCTTAAAAAAGAATTACTTTGTTTTATTTGGACCAGAGAGAGAGAGAGAGGGAATGCGAGAAAGCAAGTCCTCCGGTCTGGGACTCAAACCACGATCAGCCATGTGGGAGTCCAGCACCCTTAACCACCATACTATCTGCTGGCCACAGTATTTGTATTTGTATTTTTAAAAATTATTTATTTAATTTATTTATTAATTCATATATATATATTTTGAGAGGTTTTTGCTATAGGGCATGTGCGCTCGCCAGACAGACAGAGAGAGACAGAGGGGATGGCCACGCCGCAATCCCTTCTCCTCCATTCTCCTTTCGGGACCTTGGGCATGTATGCACATGCGTCCGGCGTGAGTTTAAGCCACCGGGTCTGGACTCGAACTGTGGTCGTCTACGTGGGAGTCCAGTGACATTGCCATTACGCTGACTGCTGCTCCCTTAATTCATATATTTTAATTTGTCCAGAGAGAGAGAAAGGGGGAAAGTGAGAAAGCAAGCTGCCAGATCTGGGACTCAAAGTGTGGTCAGCCATGTGGAAGTGTCAGCACCTTAACCATCATGCCACCTGCTGGTCCCCTAGCATTTGTATTTTTAACAAATTTCCAGGTGATAATGATGATTCTGGTCCAAAGACCTTGCTTGGAGAACCACTTTTCTAGGCTAACTTTTTAATTTATAGATAAACCAAATTAATGAGAACCGAAATGATTTTACCGAAGATAGCTAGAATTCAGTCGTCCCAAGTTCTGTTGCAGTACATTTTGCATTGCCTAATAGTGGTTTCTCTCTCTCACTTTTCCTGCCTTTTATTTAAAATAGGAAATGCTTAGAATTGTAGCATTAGAATCTAATATTTACTGTGCATACTTTTTCTCTCACTGTAGGATATTATTAGTACTGAATTTATTCATAAACTTGAAGCTCTACTGCAAAGAGCGTATCGTCTCCAAGAAGAGTTTGAAGCCACCCTTGGGGCATCTGATCCTAATTCCCTTGCTAATGATATTGGTAAGATATGGTTTTTATGAAATGTATGATGTTTTCTTTTTATATTCTTGGAATCATTTCTTTAAATGTCTTATGTATTAATAGAGAGCATATGTTTCATGAAATAGCCAAGAGAGAAAAATGTTCTATCACATTTATTTTTGTTTGTTTGTTTTATTTTTCAAGTGAACTTAATGCCTTTAAGATATAAATTCAGGGGGCTGGCAGGAAACATGGAGTGTTGGACTACCACATGGCCAACCATGGTTTGAATCCTGGACCTTTGCTTTTTCACTTTCCCTTTCCCTCTCTCTTTGACTCTCTCTGGTCAAAATTTAAAAAGAATAAATTATAACAACAAATAAAATGAAATAAATAAATAATTCTTTTACAAAGATATAAATTCCAGTACTTAATATAGTTAGGACTGTGACATAATTTTAAAAATATATTCTATATGTCTAGGGCCAGCAGGTGGCATAGTGGTTAAGGTGCTGGACCCCCACTTGGCAGACTGTAGTTCAAGTCCCAGACCTGGTGACTTGAGAATCATGCCAGGTGTGGGGCCAGAAGGTGGCGTGGTGGTTAAGGCGCTAGAATTCCTCCATGGCCGACTGTGGTTTGAGTCCCATACCCGGTGGCTTGCTTTTCACTCTTCCTCCCTACCCCTTGTCTTTATCTGGAAAAACTCATGTGAAAATAATAAGTAAGTAAGTAAAGAAAGAAAGAAAATAATTCTTAAAAAATAAATAAATAAATAATCATGCCAGATGTGTGTGTGTGCCCAAAATCCTAAGAGGAGAATGGGGGAGAGGGGATTGTGGCATGGTCATCCCCCCTAGGGACTGATTTTTCATTGTTCTTCTCTGTGGCTCTGGTGAGCACATATGCCCTGTGGTAAAAACCTAATACACACACCCACACACACACACACACATATACATATGTATTTCTTGGACTTGAGTGTTGTTTGTTTTTTTTTTTTTTTTTTTTTTTTTTTTTTTTTTTTTTTGGGGGTTTTTTCTTGTGGCGC